ATATATATATATATATACTGTATATATTACACAGAAAAAAAACTAGTCACTGTCATAACTGTGACTAGTTAGTTATATATATTACCAGATAGTTATATATATTATATGAAGAAACTCTTGGCACTTTCCAAATATATGGAATTATAGCAGTTTCACACTCCTGACATACAAACCCCATTCATTGGTACAACATAGTGCAACTGGGTCAGAGTAAAGGTCAGCTAAATAACAGCTCATTCTCAATCCTCCCTTAGCAGTGTATGAATTTTAAAATCCACTGTAAAGACACATGTAGGTCACCAAAATTGGACATGATATAATAAACCCTGTAAACCTCACCAGTATTAGTCACTTGAGCTAAGCCTAAAAAGAAAACACTTGAGCTAAATATACATGATTTTTTTTTCCTTTCCCTTTTTCCCTTCACAACATTCAACAGGAATGTTCTGTCCTTCACACACTGCTGTAAACACTACTTCAATATAAATCCCAGTTTCTAAAATAAAAAATACACACTATGCCGAAAAATAGCCATTAATTCTCCCGTGTGCTTACACAAACCACCCTGAAGGTGGTGCAGTTCATGATAGTGGTCATTTTTGTTTTTGTCCCCCCCATAGTGTTTCATTGTCATTCCCAGTAAATGGGATATAAGGCGGCGTAGTGCAGTTTGTCACTCACTCTGACCAGGAATGGAGAAAGGAGAGGTAACAGTTTAAAGTTCTTCAAAGAAGGCCACTCTGGACTTGGTGCTCTGAAGTGTCAGCTGTTAAGGAGATGAAAAAAAAGGGTTTAATTACCTGTATGTAACAGGTTTAATTATTTATACAATGGGGAAGAGATTACACGTAAGGAAAGTTCATGCATACCTTTTTTAAGTCTGCTTTCTCAGTCTAATGTAAAAACACTCATGTTGTAAATCTTTTTTTTTAAGTCTGCCAGATCAGGTTTACATGCAGCAATTTAATTGTATTTGATGATCAGTCAGAGCATTGTTTCCCAAAGACTGGGTTGCGACCCTCAGGTGGGTCGTTTCTTTTTTGGGTCGTCTCACATCATGTTTCACAGGAGTTTATGACTACTGTCTATTGACCTTGGTCACGAAGGTTTGTCACTTTAAAAATATGGGTCCCCAGAAATATAAGTAGTTATAAGCAAACATATCATAAATAATAAAATAAATATCTACAATATATATAAACATATATTGTATATATGTATATACAGATATATGTACATATGTTTATATATATACACACATTTATACACACATGTATATATATACACATATATACATGCATGTATATATATAAAGAAAATATTAGAAAATACATATACATATATTACATATATATTCATATAGATACACCGTATACATATATAGGTGGTATATGTATATAATTATTGCAATTTTATTATTAAAAAAAAAAAAGGTAAACCATTTGGAGCGCCACCACTTCCTGAATGACCATATATGGTATGGTAATATCCATGTGTAAATTAAACTGTCGCCTCTTGACTTCAACCAGAAATAATGAAATAAAATGTAGCTTATCGTTGCTAGTTTTTCCTCTAACAATCCAAAGTGCTCATATAACAACCTTTTTTAACCACTGTGATTAACATCAACCTCCTGGGCAAATAAAATTAGCACTATTATATTATACACTATTATTATATTATAAACTATTATTTAAATTACACCTTTCTGGACCTGGATAAAAAAGTAAGCCAGGTCAAGCATCATAGAGAATAAATAAGCAGGAGCTGCATGTAGCGTTGAGAAGTGGCTGTACTGCTGCGCACGGTCACGTTGCTGCCAGTCAAAAAGTTCACAGAGTGAAGTAAACTGTCAGAAGTTTATCTCTCCGACTTTGGAAACTTTGGAAACTTTAGGTGAGTCATGGGGCAAGTCTTTATGAAACACCGGACTATGCTGGAAGTCAACACAGAACTTAAAGAACACGGTTAAAACTGTCAGAGCTGTGCTATTTCTGAAAGAAAAAAAAAAATATAACAACAGAGAGAGATTTGCTGGTGCTGTAGCAATCAACCACAACTGAAGTTGTTAATTTATTCAAACTGTGATTACTTCAAATCAACACCTGTTGTATAACTTTCAATTATTTTAATACGCAATTATGAAATCTTTTTTTTTTTTTTTTTCAAATTTTGTATTAATTTCCAAGTAGCCTGGTGGCATGAATAACACTACATTGTTATTTTTGTGTTTTTGTGGGATTTCAAGTAATAAAGGGCAATATATAAATACATGTTTTATGTATTTCCAACATGGCAAATACACTGCCTGGCCAAAAGAAATGTCGCCACGTGGATTTAACAAAGCAAATAGGTTGGAGCCTCCTGTTGGATAATTATTGCATGTGCGATTATCTTTCAGCTGGCAACAAGTTATTTAACCCCAACTGGTGCAATGAGTTGCTTCTCAATTCTTAAACAACCATGTCGAAAGACACATCCCGTGGTCGTGGAAAAGATGTTAGTCTGTTTCAGAAGGGTCAAATCATTGACATGCATCAAGCAGAGAAAACATCTAAGGAGATTGCAGAAACTACTAAAATTGGGTTAAGAACCGTCCAACGCATTATTAAAAACTGGAAGGATAGGGGGGACCAGATGATGGGCGCATCAGGGTAAGAAGAGAGGCAGGGGAAGTGATGCACCCATCATGCCTAGTGCCTACTGTACAAGCCTGTGGGGGCAGTGTTATGATCTGGGGTTGCTGCAGTTGGTCAGGTCTAGGTTCAGCAACAGTATGTGCTCAAAGAATGAGGTCAGCTGACTACCTGAATATACTGAATGACCAGAATATTCCATCAATGGATTTTTTTCTTTCCTGATGGCACGGGCATATTCCAAGATGACAATGCCAGGATTCATTGGGCTCAAATTGTGAAAGACTGGTTCAGGGAGCATGAGACATCATTTTCACACATGGATTGACCACCACAGAGTCCAGACCTTAACCCCATTGAGAATCTTGGGGGTGTGCTGGAGAAGGCTTTGCGCAGCGGTCAGACTCTACCATCATCAATGCAAGATCTTGGTGAAAAATGAATGCAACACTGGATGGAAATAAATCTTGT